AGGCTTTGATAACTGTCCATAATAGGATAATACAGCATTAGCCCAGAAAGAAAGGCACGTGGAAGACTTACCGTTCAACGAACTAAACAACGAGCTTCCCTGTGGCATACAGCTGCACTTCTTATTTGCAAGGAGAATATGCAGTTGTATGGTGTTCTACAGGGCTTAGTATTAGGACCTCCTCAAGAACACTTGGAGTTACAACTGATTACGTGGTATTATCATAGTAAGTGTGTGAGTTGTGTCTCACTATCTTTCCATTCAAACTTCAGATGAACGTAAACGATGTGACAGGACATTACGTAGTATGTGTTCACACGAGTCTAATTGTCCATTTAGTTTATATTAATTTAGGATGTTTAAGTATCTATAACCTAAATTAAGTACTTATTACTTAAGAAGATTAGCTCATTCGGCTATACGATATTTCACCTCTAAATATGATGATACCATTACACAGTCTATCGCCTTTCGATAAGAACAGTTTGTATACGAGTATCATGATGGTTATGTTCCTTTAACTTATTTTCTTTTCTGGCCAGCGTGGTATAGTAGACCAAAACCTCCTTTCTAAGGAGAGGCATATGACCAGCAGTGGGCGATTAAAGTTTGTTAATAAACTTTTTTACGTAAAAATTGATTATTTGAGCAAGCGAGTCACCTGGTGCTAAGTGGTCCCTGCCGTCCATGGAACCACCAATGCAATCCTTTTGAAGAATGAGGAAGGCAGGGAAGGGTTAGGCGGTAATCTCAATTGCTCAAGAATTGCTTTTCTGAAAAGCATCGTTAGGTTACCTGTAAGGCCGTGGTATCACTCCGGTCGAAGCTTGGCTCTCTCTGACTAATACGTGATTTCAATATAAACTACAACAGTTGTAATTTCTTAAACCGTGATGGTTTTTTTTCGGATATCTAACACACAACACTATGAAAGCTAGAGTGACTGATAGAATATTTATATACTTTTATAGTACATTTACATAGAAAACACCCAAACTCCATAACAAATATTTGCAGATCATACAAACATTTGGTCCGACCTGGGTATCGAACCCGAGACAGAGACGAGACGCACAACCACCACGCGCTACCACTGCACCACCAAGGCATTCAATACATAATATAGTTTGAATTCATGTTTATGTTAATTTACTATTTATATCTGTCTACGCGGATAAAATAATAGATTTAAAGTCATTAAGCTTTAGTAATTACCTCAAATCACTGCTGTTTTTCGACGAGTTCGACGGCCATTATATTTCCAAAGTATTGCAACGTTCCCTAGGTTTTAGTTTTCTATATAATCAGAATCTGATCTTATCAGTTTCAAAATCTTAGTTTATGATGACTGAGAATTGATTTTGATACACCAATCCTTGATCACTGCCTCAAAAGTGAACGAATTAATTTTGCTAATACCTTAATCAGCTACTACATTATAATTTATTTATAAATCAGTAGCTAAACTATATTTACTGATTTGTTGATATCTAAGATTGCCTTGAGATTCAATTAGTTCACTAATACCCATAGCCAGTAATTATAAACATTCCACTGATCAGTGATGATGTGATGTATGATGCAGCAACCTTGCCTTGAAGGTTTGTCTTCATTTGTCACTTGAACGCACCCAGATTTTAATTATTGGCAAACAATGAATGTGACCATTTATTGCTGGATTCAATTAGAAACTAAAACCTAGATTTAGAACTTTATCCATGTATGGTGATGGATTAAGAATACGAAGTGTCATCACCCCTTTTCATCCCGTGGGTGTCGTAAGAGCCGACTAAGGGAGCAAACTAAGCAAGATAACAGGACTGCAAAGAGAAGAATAACTTGACACAAACCCTATACCAACTCGTCTGGCCAGCGTGGTATAGTAGGCCAAAACCTCCTTTCTAAGGAGAGGCATATGTCCAGCAGTTGACAATTAAAGGCTGTTGATGTGATGTGATATAAATAATAGCTTTGTATTATAATTGCATTAATATAAAACTGCCTTTTAGAATAAAGTCTACTGTGGGAGAGCTAACGCCCAGGAGAGAAGGGACTGAGTGGTATTACCTAAGACCCAAACCTCGGCTCATCCTCCATTCTAATTCTGGAGGAAGGGCAAACAAGGGCTGTCAACGCACTCGTATTTCCTGACTTGGAAGTATCCATGAGCGGTGGTAGTCACTTCAAATGAGCATGCTTATTTGCCATCGTATCACATAAAAGAACACAGTTGCGGGGTAAAGGAATAGGAAAATATATCTCTCAAAAGGTTACTCATTTTTAATGGACAAGATTTTATTATGTCGTTGTCTCTCTCTCTTTTTATTTTTTTTTAGTTATGGCAACTAATAGGTTAGTTGCCATAATTTAAAAAATATATGAGAGCATATAAGTTAATAACAAAATGTCACTGAAGTAATAAATAATAGTACTTGAAGTAATAAATGAATGAGTACATTCCTTATTTTAAGGCGTATAAACATGTCAACAAAAGCAGATTTTATGTAACTGCTCACAGCATTTATTACTTTGACATTCTAGTTTGTGTAAGATTCCACTTTGATATCAAATTCTGACAGATTAATCTTACCATCACTATGTTCTAAATTTGAAAGTTTGGATACATTTGTTTCTGACATCACATAGTGGTTTACTAAACTGATCAAGCTGAAAATGGCAGAAATGTTCTGGATTAACCATCTAGGCAGGTTTATTAAATTCCATATAAACAAGGGTGGCTGCGAGAAAAGTCAGTTATGTGGTTTTGCGGCGCTTAAATAACTTTATCTGCTTTTTCTCATATAAACTTTTCTTTCTCGCTTTTCTTGATGAAAGGTTTTCTATATCCCTTTCTTTATTACCTCTTGAAGATGTACCTATGCTAAATATCATAATGATCGTTTAATTAATTAAGATGTGAAAGTATGACAAATAAACAAATTTAAGAGCCACGCTTCGGCACAAATCCACCGGAATGTTTTTTTTTAAATGGTATAGAGGGGCAAACTAGCAGACTGGTCACCTGATGGTAAGCAACTACCGCCACCCATGGACACCTGCAACTCAAAAGTCACACGAGCATTGCCGCCCTTGGAGCTCCGGTAACCTCACTTATTCAGTGATAAGCAAGGAAAGAATTGCTTAACACCGGTTTTCTATAAGGCCGTGGTATCACTCCGGTCAAGCCGGGCCATTAGTGCCGAAGCATGGCTCTCCTACGTTCAAATGCGACAATGACGATGCGACGGTCTTATAGAAAACCGATCTCAAATCATTTTGTGGCTGAATTTCACTGAGTGAGTGAAGGTACTAGTCTCTGTACTCCCTGCTCCACTCCTAATTCTTCACTCAAAGGGCGATAACGCACTTGTATCTTGTGAGTTGTAGGCGTCCATAGGTCGTGATAGTCACTCAGGTAAATCATCTGGTTCTTTACCTCCTAAAGAACAAAAATAAAAACTTACATTTGCATTAATTAACTTTTTTTAATGGGTATTTGAAATAGGCATTTGTATTCCAACTCACCTAACACTCTATCCCTGGACGTTGCAAAAAAAGCTATACTTTTCTGTGTTAATGTAGTCCGTAGGGCCAATTTCATTTCAATCCCATCAGCTGTTTTTGTGTAAAAGAGTAACTACCTATCCATCCAACCGTACAAAAAGGTTTCATCTGTAATTCACCCATCAGATTGTACCTATTTAGGTCCTGATGAAGCAGATGCAGGCCAGGGTGGCAGCGCGACGTGTTGCGGAGCACGAGCGCCCTTTCGGGAGAATAAATTAAACATGGGGGTTCCCACACAAGAGGGGGTCATCTACCCGCCGTAGAGGTACTTCGGGGTACCAAGGATTTCCTTTCTAAGATACACCTGGTTCCCCGGCGACTGGTACCCGAGACGGTGTATTTTTTTTTGTGGTCTTTTAGTTGTTTAAACCCCAAACCATTAAACTAATTTTTGAAATTTGTATCAGGCTTATGCGAATTTTATTGCCGAGGTCTGTAAATTTACATAACAGGGACAAATTAAAAATATTGTCATAAGCAACTTACAAAAAGCAGTGTAATCCCACCAAAAAGTCAAAAGTTATCAGATGTCATATAGAGCCTAGCTTCTAACCTAAACCTTCTAAAATATGAGATCTGAGAACTTTTTGACAGTGCGAACTATATGGGCTCGTCTTGGCAACATTTTACTTGAAAATGTTTTTGGTTTGATTGTGTTTTCGGAATACCATAACTCTTTTGTACAGTTTGTTAATGATATATATTTTACACTGCTTTTGGTGTGTGAATGTCTTTAGCTAACTAATAAAATTAGACTTTATAAAAATTGTATTTCAGCAAAGGACTATTTACTATCCGTGTGGTGAGGGATTAAGGAGAGGCCTTTCTATGGAGAGGCCTATGTCCAGCCGTTATTTTACATTCTTAGGGGTGAAATTTCCAAAAATCCTTTCTTCGTGATTGCTTCAGCTACAGAAAATATTCAAATTTGTAGTCTCGGCGGTTTAGGCTCCGCGTTGATGAATCAGTCGGGGCAAATAATTTTTAATAAATGTATGAATCATATACTGGGTATTACCTATATAATAATGGGTCATATGTTTCAAGTCTCCACCCATTCGCTAGCAAAGGTAAAAAAAAAACATCATCATTAGCTGCTTTTCATAGTCCTCTGCTGGACATAAAAATATATTAATTACTCTGAATTGATAGCTAATTTAAATGATATTTCATCAACGGCACTTAAATAGACCAAATTCCTTAAACAATAGTGAGAACCATTTCAAAATCAGTTCAACCGTCTCCTTTACAATCGGTAATGATGTTTCTTTAATCGTACCACGAATCGTACATGAACATAAAGCTTGATTAAGGGTCACGACTAGGCCCCCTCCCTAACATTCAATTAATCATATCCTTGAAGAAATACAGAAAGATTTGACACTCGAGGTCAATCACGTTCGGTAGCTCAAAATACCCTCGAAATAATTACAATGTGCATGAACATGATCGCTAATATTTATTATGTGAACTACATGACGTCAGAATGCAAGTGTTCAGGAGTACGATCAGTTGTATATATAATAGGTCATGCGCTTCGGAGCATCACAGTATCATTTGGAACTCATCCACATTTAGTTAAGTGCACCGGTGGATTATTCAAAATGAAATTGGTAATTCATTATTTTATTTTAAATTGAGATGATAAATAGACTGTGTTACTAGACATATTACTTTGTTATATATTTTAGAACAACATGAAAACATAATAGGTGTATTGACATGTATTTTTAGTCTGTGAATGGTTTTATTTGAGACAAAAATTTATTGATTTGTTTTTTTTTAATTCCATAAAGTCATCATTAAGATAATGCTATATCAACAAAAATTTAAAATATTGCAAAATATGTGTATTTTGCATAATTATTTAAAAATAATTTCAAGAAAAACGACATTTTATACAATAATATAAACTGTTGAAGCCTTTACCATATTTATTATTTTAATTGGCATTTTCATGCTTACACTACATCCTGTTAAAATTATGTTATTTGTTTTACAACAGGTCGTGATAGCAGCTTTAATCGCAGCGTGCACTGCAGCTCGGCTGGAGCACTTAGAACGCTCCTACTTACCTCCCGATAACAGCATCATCCCAAGCAAGCACAGTAGTTCACGAGACTTTGGTTCATCCTTCGATTTGGGGTCCAGCTTTGGTCAACACCAAGGAAATCCTCAGAACTCTTTCCCCAGCGCTTCAAACCGTTACTTGCCACCTACCAAGGGAGCTTCAAACGATGCTACTCAGTTTATTGGTAGCGTAAAAGGTGAGAAAATGATTTTATTATTGATATTTTGAAAGCCTTCTGCTTTTGTTTGATATTTTCAACTGTATTACGTATTAATTGTAAAAATGTTTTCCCCGTAAATTTTAAATCAAAGCTCATTCACCATTTTAGGACGCACCTTTACAAAAGTCTAACATCATCATAAATTTCTATATTGAACCCATTTCTGCTTCTTTTGACCGCAGCTTAATAATACTATTACAGTTTATTTTTAGATAAACAGATTCAGTGGAGCTATATGAAAATTTTTTATATTTTTTTCTATAAGATAAACTCAATGATGAACGTTAAACATATCGTCAACAACAACGTATCGTAAACAGGCGTATTATTACCGTTTTAATATGTAAATACATCATTAATTACTCAAAAATCTAATATAAACTAAGTATATAAATTGCTTTGAAAATTTAGCAAAAACTATTTGAAATAGTTTTGACTGTAGTTCAACATATGAAACAATATGAAAATTCTCTTTGACCAAAACTTAAACATACCAAAACCCTTAAATTTGGGCGTTTCATGATATATTTACGTAACGTTTGTAACCTGACTGTTAGCTTGTGTCAAGGGCCATTAGAACCTGGTCGATGCCTCATACAATTCAAAGGCATAACGCGATATACGAGTATACAAAAACTTGTATCACAATTCACAAAACACTGTGCAGAATTAAGGATACTTAGTTCCATCAGTTGTATTATTTTTTTTCTTCTTCAATTATTTCCAAAATTGAAAAATTTGAGCAATTAAAATTTGTAATTGTTTTTTCAGTGCACTGTGTACAAGTTGGTAGTTCAACTGAATGCCAGTATTTCTCGGGGGGTAAATCCGTTAAGAAACTTATTTGGCGACTGAAATCAATTACATGGTGACAAACTGCTAGCTAACCTAACAAGAACCTGCTGGCGGGTTACTGATTATGTACCAAATATAGTCTAATGTTATAATACAGAACAATAATTTGCCACATTGATAAATGTAATAAAATAATCAATGTGTCGAATTTGGTCTTGGAGTGTTTAAAATGACCACAATGCAAGAGATAAGATGTAAGAGATCTAGGTTAAATATTGTTATTACTGGCTAGATATGTTTTGTTATAGAATAATATCGATATTTGTTACTTTTGTTTTTATTTTTTGTAAGTAACCGTGTGGTGACGGATTAAGAATACAGAGTGTCACCACTCCTATTCATCCCGTGGGTGTCTTAAGAGCCGACTAAGTGAAAAAACTACACAGAACAACAGCACTGCAGAGAGAAGGAAAACTTGACACAAACCTTATACCAACCCGTCTGGCCAGCGTGGTATAGTAGGCCAAAACATCCTTTCTAAGGAGAGGCCTATGGCCAGCAGTGGACTGTTAAAGACTGTTGATGTAATGATGATGATGAAGAAGTAATAATCGTATTAAACTTTTTAGAACCGTTTTTAAAATAATGTTAACGTTTTTAATATTGTGTAAAAGTTAGGCCTCTCTTTTAACTGTATTATTTTTTTCAATGAATCAATGAACCATGATCAGTTCAAACCTCATGAATATTGTCCTAATTAAGTCCCGATTAGTCGTATCTAATATAGATAGTTGGTTTGTAATCGTTATTACTAAATCTAAACACAAAATCATCTGCATTCATAATCCATGAACTACATTCAAACGTGTAGTGGCAGTTATTTAATAATTACAACTGTGCATCATTACACATTAGCATAGTAAATAACATATATATTTAAAACCGTATCACGATTATTTGAATGTTTATTTAAATCTGACCTTTATAAAATCAAACGTATTAGGGCCAGTTAAGGTACTTTTTCGCTAAATTCGCTTTCATTTATAATGCTGAAAGGTAAAAATTAATTCTTAAAAATAATTAAGTAATTTAACGAAACGTAGACGACATTTTGGTATATGTACTACACTGTGTATAGTTGCTGTAACACATATTATCAAAATATTAATTTTATGTGCCAGTGATATAGTTCTCAGGCTGCGAATAATGCTGGCTTGTTTTGAATAGATAAGTTTTGGTTTATATTTCGAGTGTCATAAAACTACTACATAACAAACGATGAGAAAATTGACGGAGTATTAAACCAACTGACCGATAGTTACATATTTTTTGCTCGATAATGTTAGGCCACGTCAAGATGTAAAGGTTATTTATGGACATGTTTTTTAAACTCAAATGACCTACAGTTAAGGTAATATTATCAATAGTTGATTGAATTAGAGCAGCTTAAGACGTCAAAATACCTAATATAGTAAGAAACAAAAAAAAAAACTTATTTTGCTGCATTGTTTTGGAGTCTATAAATTGGGCTTTGATCAATTTCAATGTTTTTATCATTAAAAAAAAACTATCAAAACGAGTATAAGGCTCAACGAAGCGTCATTTAATAACATACAATGTGTAAATAAATATTAAATTATATTATTAATAAACTGTTTAACAGTCTGCACTCTTCAGACCCGATTAAAATAGATATTTGTAGCTTTGTAATCGATATCATGAAATTAACTAAATATTACATGTTAGAATATTTTTGATTAAACTATTAAGTTTACAAAATAGGGTCTTGATCGCGGCAGCGTTATTAAAATACATTTTAACGTTTAGATTATGGTGACGCCTAGAATAATCAGAAATTAGTAACACCTCGCTCTGTAACAAAGTTGCGATAACGGCACGCAATTAATCCACACTTTTGTTCTCATGGTTGTTACAAACTATTCTTTAAGTATAGGTATTTTTACAAAAAATATTAGATTCAGGAGTAATAGTGACGGACGGAAAAATATCTATGTACTATCTCAAACTATTAATTAAGGTATAACAATGAATCAATGAAGTAAAAGAGTGTGAGGAATCAATATTCGTATTTGATTTGATTTGATAAGATAATAATAACAAAAGAATGAAACTAATGATGTAATAATTTTTACAGGTTTCGGCGGCCAACGCGACGCTCCTAATCCAAATCAGCAATATTCCAGCCCTAGCATGTCTTACGGTACTCCTCAACCTAGCACTGGAAGATCTCAATCTCAGTTTGGAGCTGCTAACCGGCAATACTTAGCTCCAGTCGCTAGCCGTAAACAGAACTCTCAACTTGGAGCTCCTAGTCGTCAATATCTAACTCCCAATGCAGGTGCATCTCAAAATGGAAATCAACAATTTGGATCTTCAAGTCAATATCAGCAGTTTGGAGCCGCTGCCGGACGTGTTCAAAACTCACAACTTGGATCGGCTGCCAGCCGTCAATATCTCGCACCTCTCGCTGGTGGCTCTCAGAGTGACAGTCGACAGCAGTTTGGTGGTTCCAACGCTGGTGGATCTCAGATTGACAACCGTCAACAATTCGGTGGTTCCAACGCTGGTGGATTTCAGAGTGATAGCCGTCAACAGTTTGGTGGTTCCAATGCTGGTGGATCTCAGAGTGATAGCCGTCAACAGTTTGGTGGTTCGAGCGTTGGTGGTTCTCACAGTGACAACCGTCAGCAGTTTAGCGGTGCCAGTGTTGGTGGTTCTAAGAGTAACAGCCGTCAGCAGTTTGGTGGTTCCGGCGTTGGTCAGCAACAAAGATTTGAAACTACTCCCAGCCGACAATATCTAACTCCTCAAGCTAATAGTTTCCCAAGCAATGGAAATAAGCAGTCTGGAGTTTCAGACAATAGCAGATTTGGATCTGCTACTAACCGTCAGTACCTTGCTCCTGGCTTCAGTGGTTCACAGGGTACTGGCAATCAAAAATTTGCAGGATCTACCTTAGGCCAGCAACAGTTTAGGTCTTCCAACTCCCAATACTTTGGTTCTGATTCTGAACAATTTAATGCAGCTCCGCGATTTGGAGCTGCAAGTCGTCAGTTGTACCTTGCGCCTCATGCTTCCGGTTTGCAAAAATCTCGCTTCCAAGCCATGATCGGAAGTGAAGGCTTAGCAGGTTCTAGTCGTCAGTACCTTGCTCCACGCTTTGACTCTTTCGAAGGAGTTCCCCAACAGGCTTTCAATGAAAGAACGGGATACCAATATTGAAATGCTATGTAAAATTAATTCGAATTTTGTAAATTCTGTATATAAATAAATAGCTATATTATAATTCGATCGTTTTTTACTATTATAATATAACTCATCTTTTCATCTTTTCATTCTTTGCATCTATTAAAACTCAATTTTTAGCTAACACAAACACCTATTATAGCCAGTTACTTAAAATCGAACGTTACGTAATACCTACTTATGGGTGTGTTTTTGAAAAATACACTTAAATTTGCACGTCTAAGATCTGCCAAGCAATTAAAGGCTTGCGCGATGTAAAAAGGGGTTACTTATTTAATGATGATTTATTGCATTATAATTTAATATATCCTTTATTGTTTAGTTAACAAAAATAAAAACATACTACCTAAGGAGAAAGTACAATATTATTGTTTATTTTTTAAAGAAAACAAACAATAATTCGACGCGATTATACTATTACTGTACTACTGTGCATATTGTGACATATATAACATCGCAAGAAGTCGGACTAAATCCACTTTAAATACGAGTAAAAGAAAACGAGCTCAATGAACAACCAAGGAAAACTGTTGTCTTTAGAAATTGCGCATATAATTATGTCTACAGGAAATAACGCTCTCACGCTAGTTTTTATTGTAAGTATTATGACCGACAGTCAGCTTGTGACTATGGCCAGTACAACCAGGTTCACAGTTCTGCTATTTTAATATTGTATCAATAGACTGTCAATGGACTGTTGTCGGAATAGTTTTACATTTTTCGTATTCTACTAACTATGGCGGGGTAGGCGAACCTTTATGCATCAACGTGCACTTTTTTCTAAAAAATGTTTAATGGGGTCATTTTTTTTTTTTTTTTTTTTTTTTTTTTTAAAGACAACGCCCGCATTAGGAATAAATCCTGTGTCGCGGGGGACTTTACAAACATACATGAAACGGACACAAAGAACACCCAGACTCAGAACAACAATTTGTGGATCACACAAAGTGTCGTCCCATGTGGGGTTTGAACCCACAACACTCGGCGTAGTAGGAAGCGGCGTGGCGACCGCTTAAACCACTACGCCATCCGTGCAGTCGACAGTCATTGACGTGCCATCAAATAATTTTGACTTTCTGATTATTTTTTCATTTTGATAGGCTGATGATGATAATGATTATTTGGAAAATAACAATAATAAATACTATCAAAACTCTTTATTAAATAAAGTAAACAAAAGAGGTACATTTTGAAATGTTTTTATTACACGCATAAATTAAATTACTGTAAAATTAGTGTGACTTCTGTTGCTGCAAGTTAGATGACAAATAAATTATGTTAGGGTTGTAAGATGTTACTTTTAGCAAAATGCATGCTGAACTTGATTCATCTGTCAAACGGTTTTTAACCGAGTTTTTAATGTTATACATCTCTGAAAATAATGACTCACAGGCATAGGTAGATGAAAACATTGTTAAAATAGCATGAGCCAGCTTCTTCAAACAGTTAAATGTGTCTGGTAACGCATTCCATGTTTCCAGAATTTTGTTAATAGCATTTTTTACTTAAATTACTTGTCAATCTTTCAGTTTCAATTAATTCCAACTCTTTCCTTGTTTCAATAAATTTTTGAATCCATATTGAACTAGATTGGAAATCAATCAACTGCATTTCAAATTCTTCAATTTCCAACCAATCGAATTGAGAGAAGTTCAGTTTATGAAATGACGTCTCATCGGAGTACATAATAAATTTGAGTATTTCCGACAATTCTTTGAACTGAGAAAATCTCCCTGAAAATTCTTTAATTAAAGAATCGATTACAGAAATATATTCTTCAGTAAATTATTCTTTGTCTGCTGTCTCGTGAATGTCAAAATCAATTATATTTTTTTTCAAGTTTGGAAAATACTTGTAGTTTCTTGTGATTATATCGTTTCTGATGCTTGCAGGTTAGCCTCAACCGAACACTCCGTAGCGTAGGTTCGATCGTCATAAAATACCTAATTAAACACATTTTTAACACATGTTTTATGATCGGCGACGTGCCCAAAATATTGTGTCGCGTGCCATCAACGGCACGCGTGCCATTGGTTCGCCTACTATGAACTATGGTCTTACCAATGGCCCCTCGATGACTTATCACTGAACTGCCACTGATGCAAATATTGTAAATGTCTTTGTTTGGCAGACGGTACATTTTAAATTAGAGAGGAAATGATTTATTTAATTCTCCAGATATGGCAATGTTGTTTATATCACCATTAATAAGCTATTGCCACTACATCGACAGTCTATTGATACTGTGAATTTATGTTAGTAGAATACCGATATTCTGACCGATGTCTATGGCATCTCAATAACATGTCAATGAAATAACAGTGGCTTGTACGTTATCATAAAATAGAATAGTTGAGGCCCTGGTCGAAACGTCGGGCAATTCAAAGGTATGTACTTAATAGCTATCGTAAGAGATTTAATTCCCGTACCCAAACATCGCATCACATCAACACCGCTCATAGTAAACTTCTGGACATAGGACTCTCCTTACGAAGGAGGTTTTGAGCTGTAGTTGCGTGTAATTTCCATGTTTTATGGTATAGGGGTGCAAGCAAGCAGTCAGGTCACTTCATAGTAAGTAACTACCGCCGCCCATGAACACCTGCAACTCCAAGAGTAACAAGTACGTCCCTTTGGGTTCTCTGACTCAGGGGAGGTTTGATTTGCTCTGGGTGTTTCTATGTATAATACGTATGTATTTACAAAAAAATATATATATGTATTTATATCAGTTGTCTAGTACAAGCTCTGCTTAGTTTGGGACTAGATGGCGTTGTGTGAATGTAGTAGAATATTAGTAGTATTAGTAGAATTGGAAGTCAGTAAACAAGAAACATTTCTTAACTTAAAATTTTTAAGTTTAGCAACACTGGTACCATATAGGTCTATTTCATATTGAGATGAAATTTTATTAAAGTGTCTACTCGCACGTATTAAAAATAAATTTTGTCTATATGTGCTCTTTACGCAAGGAACATACAAAAGACTAGGGATGTGTTACTAATCCTGTCTTACCCAACAACTCTGGGCACTCCACAGAATGTGAAACTTTTTACATTGGGCTATAATATGTATGTATTTAAAAATATATAAGTATGTCTAACAGCAGTCTGGTTACCATAGTACAAACTCTGCCAGGTTTGGGATCAGACCGTCTTGTGTGTAAAGTTATTATTATTATTAATTAGCTCCCTTGACAAAATTTAGTTCAAAAAATATTTCACAATTGATAAAGCACGAAATTATAAAATTCGTTCATTGCATTTGTCACTATAAAAGATTGCCCGTAAGAAATTGCTACTAAGTAATAACATTCTTACATATCTACCTCAATTTTTATTCCTTTATGCTTTGTAACAAAACACAACATTGTATTGTATTCTAGTGTATAATTATACTTTACAGTATAATAAATAATATCGCGGCTAAAAAAGACTTGTTCAATTTAAATCACTACTATAAAATTTAAATAAAACTGACCGAAAAACACTACAAAAAACGGGTAAAGGTACATTATACCCATAAAGTATACAAAATGATCTCTATTATTAGGGTTCTATAACAAATTGTTACCATTAATGGTTTTTGCTCATTAATGCGGTCTTTAAAACTGACGTTTTAAGTCACGCAAAAGCCTATGCATACCTTTAAAAATATTTCCTTGGCTTAGATGTTGCAAATATTACAGGCGCAGAGTGGCACACCGTGTGGTTTTAGTCGGTCCGAGTCCGACACACCACCCCGCCGCAAACCCCGGTGGGGTGACGGTCCGAGGGGATTTCCACACGTAAAAAAAAAAAAAAAAAAGATGTTGCAAATATGATAGGTTTATTAAAATATTAAGAGCATCCTATGCACCTGTTGTAAAAGAAATATGGCGCATTTGGCGACCGGGTGGAGTAGTGGTTTATGTAACGGACTTCTATTCCAAAATTCACTGGTTCGATTCCCGCTCAAGTCAAACATATGTGCATGAACATTTAATGTTTGATTTGGTCTGGGTGTTTCTATGTATAATATAAAGTATGTATTCACAAAAATAAAAGTATATATGTATTTTAAAAGTTTATATATTATATCAGTTGTCTAGTAGCCATAGTACAAGCTCTGCTTAGTTTGGGACTAGATGGCGTTGTGTTAATGTGGTAGAATATTATTATTATTATTGAAAGCATGTCGTATTTGGTAAACTTAATCTTTACATTACAAGAAGTGTAGAAAGAAACGTAAAATGGCTACTTATAAAGATCAGACGTCCAATATATATTTAGACCATTTACGGTTTAAAAGTCTACACAATACTAGTTCAGATTATGTTGGATTATGAAACAAGACATTCAAACGGTCCAAATTCACCCACCAAGGTATCTCTAGTTTTAATATACGCATGTTATTAAATGAAAGTACAATTGTGTGACCTCGATAGTGATGAATATTGTCAAGATCACACATCTGTACTTTACACCGTCAATCAAAACGATATCGTATTTGAATCAGATATCTATACCAATTAATAAAAAACGTATGGTATATTATTTGGTGGTTTCAGTATATAAAACTAAAGAATACATTAACATTATGGCAGTTAGAGAGAATATATTAATGATACGACAGCCCATTCTACCTACTTCTTGAAATGAATGCAATAAAATTAGTTATAACCTTGTTTGTACTTGTAAGAAATTTGATCTAAGAATTAATATAAATAAAAACATTATCCTCGTGTTTTACAGCGGTAACTTAAATATTTAACTTTTATATTGCACTTAGACTTAACTTCCTTAATTAAAGATGCACCTACATAGGAAATAAGCTGTTACATTTTAGTACTTTCCTCAAACTTACATAATATTTTAGACGAAATATTTTGAGGTCAATTGGGCAATATCAATATTTATTTAAATCTGTATAAACAAGAAGCCATTTAGAAATTTATAACCGTAAAATATCTTTGTTCTTTTTTAATGGCAACGATC